GATTGAGATGTGACTGAGCTGATTGGGGCCATGGTGCTTTCTTCTCCTCTCTGTCTCTGTGGTGAGAACATGTGCTCAGGCAATTTAAAGAAAACTTTACACCAACATTTTTACCTTCTTGAGATGTAGTTTCTTTAGGTTTTATGATTATTGCTATATTAGTTGCTATAACCAAATGGAATATGATTAAAGCAACCAACGTTCATGGCTAATTTAAAAACTAAAACAAAAATACAGTAATTTCGTCATTCAGTGTTGATTAATATTGTTAATGTTTTAGATAAATATGCAGATACATTCACATACATACATACATACATACATACCTATAGACATATTTTCTTTTTTTAAAAAAAATTTTAATTTAATCTTATTTATTATTATTTTTATTTGGACAGAGAGAGAGAGAAAGGGAAAGGGAGAAAGTAAGCCACCAGATCCGGGACTTGACTGTGGTTGCCCATGTGGGAGTCCAACGTCCTAACCACCATGCCACCATGCTACCTGTCAGCCCTTGCACATATTTTCTTAATATATTGGGATATTTTCCCAAATCTTCAAATATTTTTCAAGAATACCTTTTAATGACTCTGTGCATCTCTTGAGTTTCAACAGACTTTGATCGAAGCATAAAAACTGGTATAAATGTGGCGTGTGTCACAGGTGTGCATCGTGAAATCTCAGAGGTCAGCAAAGCAGTGCAGCTGGCGCTCCTCTCAGGAAAAACATCAGCTCCTGACCTCCCTTTTCTGCTTTCTGTCAGCAGCATCCTTTCCCCACTGCAAAGGGTTTTATTTTTATTTTTCAAAAATAGAGTGTAATTTATATACAATGATAGTCACTCATTGCTTATACAATTCAATAATGTTTAACAAATTTACTGAGTTTTACAGTGATGGCTAGTTCAGCTTTAAACAGTACGCTTCATTTAACCAGTTTGCTTTTCTTGAACAGTGTGCTTCTGATTTTTCATTATTATAATCAGTGCTGTAGTGATTTTTCTTGCATATCTGTGTATACAGTTGTGATTTAATCAGAATAAGTTTCTAAATGCAGAATTACTGGTTCAGAGAATGTGTACATTTTATGACTTTTGATGCATATTTTCAAATTGCCTTTGAAAATAATCGATCTAATTTATATTCCTATTATCAGTAGATGAGAATTATTATTTTTTTTCATTACCTCAGTGTAGGACTTTTTTTTTTTTTTTAAGAGTCATTAACCTTTTGGTGGATTAAATCTGGTACCACTGTTTTAATGTTCATTTCTTTGATTACTGCCGTGACCATTTTGTATATGTTTAATAACCATTTCCAAGTTTTCTTTAGTGATGTCTGATAGTGTTGTCTGTCAGGTTATTCCTTTTTGAACTTACCTTTGAAGACACTTTACTATATTAAAGGATATTGGCCCTTTGATGTTACAAATAGTTTTCCTGAATTTGCTTTATATTGCTCATTTTTCAAATTTAAAATTGGAGGCAATTTTGAATTATATGAATAAAATATTTCTTTTTGACTGTGTATCTTTCATAATGAGAAGTTTAAAAAAACACCAAGTATATACATTAAACTAATTTATTATGCTTTGTTGCCAAACTTGGTCTTTCTAGGCAGTTATACTTAAGCATGAACATTGACGACAAACTGGAAGGATTGTTTCTTAAATGTGGCGGCATAGACGAAATGCAGTCTTCCAGGGCAATGGTTGTAATGGGTGGAGTGTCTGGACAGTCTACTGTGTCTGGAGAACTGCAGGAGTCAGTGCTTCAAGATCGAAGTTTGCCTCACCCAGAGATCCTTGCTGCAGATGAAGTATTACAAGAAAGTGAAATGAGACAGCAGGATATGATATCACATGATGAACTCATGGTCCATGAGGAGACAGTGAAAAATGATGAAGAGCAGATGGAAACACATGAAAGACTTCCTCAAGGACTGCAGTATGCACTTAATGTCCCTGTAAGTAATTCCTTCATGGGATATTAGAGGTATAGTTACAAACGTAATGAACTTCGTGTTATGTAGTACTAGAAGTCATAGAAAAAGTTTCAGAAATTATTTAAAGCCTAAAATAGTCTTGAATAGATGAACTTATTGACAAATCTTATTCAAAAATGTAAAATTAGTTTTTTATTACATTATTTTAGAAACTTATCTTTTCCAGCATAACTTTTATTTCTCTATTAAGATTACTTGTGTATAGATTTTAGTGCTTACATTTGAAAGCTATTTTGTGTACTTCTGGGTTTCTCCTTTAAAAATAGAAAGCTTTAATCTTAAATATTAATATTGGGTGGTTGGGAAAGTCATGACGCATTTTTGTACAGAAAAATATGTCATGACTTTCCCAACGACCTGATAGACAAAGATCACACACACACAAGGGGCTTTTTCCTTCAAATCCTGTAACATCCTGGCAGCTTCCGCCACTCCTCCCCGCCACCGCACACTTCCATTCTATGTTCGCTTCACTTGCTTGCTCTTTCTTTTTAAGTATATCAGCCCTTTACTCTTTCTCATCTACCCCAGGCCTCATGGTTCCTCACCTAAGATATTCTTTTGTAGGCACCCATGCCTTTAACTTCCTTCCTTCTTCCCTTCCTTCCTACTTCCTTTCATTTCTTCCTTTCTTTCACTTCTTTCTTTCTTTAAATTTGACCAGACAGGGACAGAGTGAGAGAGAAGGGAAAGTGAGAAAGCAAGCCATCGGGTCTGGGACTCAAACTGCTATCAGCCAAGTGGAAGTTCAGCGCCCTTACCACCATGTCACCTGCCAGCCCCAAACTTGTGTTTCTTTCAGTTCATATAACACATTGTGCTTTTACCTTAGGATGCTCACATGTCCTGCTTGAAATAGTTACCTCAGCCCTATCCTTTCCTATTTTTTAATCTAGATAGTCCATCATCTTCAGCCAGCCACTTCTGTCCATTCTAGGTTGAGTCTCTGAGTCTCTGCAGTAGGGACTTATAATTTGTTGTTCAGTGTTTGTCTTTCTCAAAGATTGTAGATCCTCTAAGAGCGGGAGTTTTGTCTATTTCAGTTATGACTGCATGGATAACTGCTCACAGTTGTGTTCTAATACATGGGCTCACCAACTTTTTTTTTTTAAAGAGAGATATTTTTGCTGTAGGGTGTGTGTGCTCGCCAGAGATACAGAGAGAAACAGAGCATGAAAGTGAGGCATCACTCCATGGGGGGTTGACCATGCCTCAGTCTCTTATCTCCATTTTCCTCTTGGGATCTTTGGCACATGTGCATGCACCCAATACACACGTACCTCACCTGAATTTCAAGCCACTGGGTCCAGGATTTCAACTGGGTTTGGCTGTGTGGGAGTCCAGTGCCTTAACTACCATGCCACCTGCTGGCTCCCAGATTTTGTTTTTATTTTTATTTTTTGGAGAATGTTGTTGTTGTTTGTTTGTTTTTAATTTTTGGTATAGGGCACGTGCACTCGCCAGAAGGACAGAGACAGACAGAAAGTGAGAAATCATCCCCTGGGGGGATGGGCATACCACAATCACTTCTCCATTCTGCTCTCAGGATCTTGAGCACACACACATGTGTCTGGCGTGAGTTTAAACCATTGGATCTGGGACTTGAACCACAGTTGACTACGTGGGAGTCCAGTGGCATAGCCATTATGCCAACTGCTGGTCCCTGGATTTTGTTTTTTAATTAAGGAAAAGTTTATAATGAAATTCTCAGATCTTAGATTTATAGTTCAGAGTTTTAATAACTGCGTAAACTTGTATAATCGACATCCTATCAAGATACAGAGTATTTCTGTCATCTTGAAAAGTTTTTCTTTTTTTTTTTTCTTGCATTTCTTCCCAGTCAGTCCCCTTTACAGCAATTATTTTGATTTTTTTGAAGTGGCAGTTTATTGTTGTTCCTTACAGACTCCATGTAAGTGGAATTATATGTTACCCTTTGGTGTGTGTGTTTTTTTTTTTTTTTTTTTTTTTCTGCAGTTTGATGTTTTTGTTTCATCTGTTTTAGTTGAGTGTATCTGTAGTTCATTCTCTTTCTTGATTAATGTTTTGCCATTTTAATATTCTATGATTTGTTTTTTTTAAAGAATTATTTTATTTAATTTTATTTATTTACTTATTTTAATTTGACCAGAGAGGGACAGAGTGAGAGAGAGAGAGAGTGAGAGAGAGAGAGAGAGGGAGAGAAAGCAAGCCTCCAGGTCAGAGTCTTGAACCATGGTAGGCCATGTGGGAGTCCAGCACCCTTAACTACCACGCCACCTGCTGACCCCCATTTTTTTTTTTTAATTTCTTGTGATTAATTTGCGTTATCTCTTGGTTTTATTGTAAATAAAGATGCTGTAAGAATTTTATCATTTCAGTTGTCTTTTGTTTTGAGTAGAGATTTGTCCATTTTCCTGTTCACTTCAAAGAATCAAGTTTTGATTTTATTAATTTTCATTATTATTCACTTTAGCTTTCTTTCATTCTTACTCCTTATTTCTTTTCTCTACAACTTTATTTCTCATTTGCTTTTCTTGCCTTTTTAAAGTAGAAGGTTAGATAACTTTAGTTTAGATCCTTTCTTCATTTTTATGTAAGCATTTGAAGATTCAAACTTCTTGGCATTTGATATGATATGTTTTTGATATGTAGTGTATATTATCATTTAATTCAGGAAACTAACTTTTGTGATTTTTTTTTTTTTTTTGACGCTTGATTTCATTTGACCTTTGATTTCTGGCATTAGATGTTCTAGACATATGTTATGCTTTTTCTGAATTGTGTTCTGCTTAATTTCTGAATATTTTGAATTTTTCCAGAAATTTTTATTATTGATACCTAGTCACTGTGCTCAGAGAATGATTTCTATCCTTGTACATTTTATTGAGACTTATTTCAGCACCCAGCATATGATTAAGAATTGGTGAATGTTCCATGTTCACTTTAAAAAGAATGTGTATTCTGGCTGTTGTTGGGTGGGTTATTTTATAAATTTTAATTGGCTCATGTTACCTAGTTGTCTTCAATTCATTTTATATCTTTACTGATCTACTTGTTCTATCAGTTATTGAGATAGCATTCTTGGAGACTCTAACAGTTTGTTTGCAGAAAGACCTAGTTAAAAATTATGTGTTGCAGGACGAGCAGTTGGTGTAATGGCAATGTTACTGGACTCCCATGTGGTCGACTGTGGTTCGAGTCCTGGACCCAGTGACTTAAACTCATGCCGGGCATGTGTGTCCAAGATCCCGAGAGGAGAATGGAGGAGAAGGGATTGTAGCATGGCCATGCCCCTAGTGGTGGTGGCGGGGGTGATTTCTCACTTTCTGTCTCTTTGGCAAGTGCATGTGTCCTATAACAACCCCCCCACCCAAAAAAAAAGTTTAAACAAACAAACAAAAAAATGGGATCAGCGGTTAGTGTAATGGCTATGTCGCTGGACTCCCACGTAGTCGACCGCGGTTCGCGTTCTGGACCCGGTGGCTTAAAACTCAAGCCGGGCGCTTGTGCGTGCGTGCCCAAGATCCTGACAGGAGAACGGAGGAGAAGGGATTGCGGCATGGCCATCCCCCCTGGGGGGTGATTTCTTGCTTTCTGTCTCTCTGTCTCTCTCCCCCTGTCTGTCTGATGAGCACGCGCGCCCTATAGCGAAAACCTCTCCCCCCCTCCCCCCCAAAAAAATTACATGTTGCATTCAAAGCCTTGCCTTTTGAGGCCAGCACCTGGGGTAGTGGTTATGTCGCTGGACTCCAACATGGCTGACCATGGTTTGAACCCTGGCCCTGCTGGCTTGAAAATCATGCCAGGTGAGTGTGCATGTATACCTCCCCAAGATCCCAGGAGAAGAACAGAGGAAAAGGAATTGTGGCTTGGTCATTCTACACTCCCCCCCTTCCCCAGGGGGGTGATTTCTCATTTTCCCTCTCACTGTCTCTGTCTCTTTTCACTGAGCGCGTGTGCTCTATGGCAAAAACATCTTTAAAAAAATTAGTCTTGCTTCTTTAGTTTTCATTAGTCTGGGTTAGTTCCTTTCTAAAGTTATTTTTTGTATTTTGCATTTATTTTATAGACTGTCCCTCAGTTTGGATTTAGCTGATTTTTCATCTCTTATGAGATTGGCAGGAAGTGATACTGTATTTTCTTCCCACTGTATTCTTTTTTGTTTGTTTGTTTGTTTTGAGAGTTCTTTGCTATAGGGCATGTGCGCTCGCCAGAAGAGAGAGAGAGAGAGACAGAAAGCGAGAAATCACCCCCCACCCAGGGGGGATGGTCACACCGCAATCCCTTCTCCTCCATTCTCCTCTTGGGATCTTGGGCATGCACGCACATGTACCTGGCGTGAGTTTAAGCCACCGGGACTCGAACTGTGGTCGACTACACGGGAGTCCAGCGACATAGCCATTATGCCAATTGCTGATCCCCTTCCCACTGTATTCTGACAGGTGGCACATGGTTTTTGTTTGCCTTAATAAATGCTGGTTCACTTTGATTAGTTGATTAAGGTGGTATCTGCCAGTCTTCGCTACTGTGAAGTTAATCTCATTTCCCATCCTACTTTTTGATCAGTTAACTTATGTATATCAATATGCACTTGAAGTTTTTATTCACTGGGTTAAAATTTAATACTATGATTATTTTAATGCTTTACTTGTTTAAGATTTGTCCAACAGACGTGTCTTTAAGTTATGTATGTTCCTTGACATGTACCATTTACCTTTGAGCATTTCCTTGCTTTTTGGCATAAGATGTTCTAGACATATGTTGTACTTTTTCTGCCTCAGTCCTGGAGTCAGCCATTTCTCCAAAGAGCCCTAGGTGTTTTTAGTGGAGAGCAAGATCTGTGTGTTCAGTGTGCTACTCATTGGTGTTGGGGTACAGCTGCTCCCAGGCTTCTCAGTTTACAGAGTTAGAGAATTTGTATGTACACACTTTTGTTTCTCTAACTTATTCCCATATCTACTAATATTGTAGACCATGAA